CATCTCTCTCTCTTGAAGTTTTCCAGAAGTTTATTTATTTTTTCATATATTTTGGTGTTCTTATATTAAGTGCATATATGTTTACTAGAGTTATATCCTCTTGTTGGATTGATTTCTTTAATCTTATTTAATGACCTTCTCTGTCACTTAGTATGTCCTTCATTTTGAAGTCCCTTTTTATCAGATATAAGTATTGGTACTCATGCTTTTGTTTGTTTGTTTCCATTTGCATGAAAATTTTTTTAATCCTTTCATTTTTATTCTGTGTGAGTCTTTTGTTCTGCGGTGGGTCTCTTTTACACAGTGTGTGTGTGTGTGTGTGTGTGTGTATCTTTTTTTTTTTATTTATTTATTCAGCTACCCTATGGCTTTTGATTGGAGTATTTAAGGCTTCTTTTTTTTTTTTTTTTTTTCTTTTTTTCTGTCTGTGAAGCTTTTTATTTCATCTTCAATTTTGAATTATAGCCTTGCTGGATAGAATAGTATTGGATTCAGTCTCTTGCTTTTCATTACTTTGTATACTTCATGCCACTCGCTTCTGGCCTGCAGTGTTTCTATTGAGAAATCAGCTGACAGTCTAATGGGAACTCCCTTGTAGGTAACTTTTTGTCTCTCTCTTACTGCCTTTAACATTTTTTCTTTGTCTTTAATGTTTGCCATTTTAATTATGATGTGCTAGAGGTGGGTCTTTTTGGGTTCATGTTGTTTGGGACTCTCTTTGTTTCCTGGACTTGTGTGACTTTTTCCTTCACCAGGTTAAGGAAGTTTTCTATCACTATTTCTTCAAGCAGATTCTCTATTTCTTTCTCTATTTTATCTCCTTCTGGTACCCCTATAATGTGAATGTTGTTATGTTTCATATTTTCCCAAAGCTCCCTTAAACTCATCTCCTGCTTTTTAAATTTTCTTTTCCATATGCTGCTCTAATTGGCTGCTTTTTTATACCTTGTCTCCTATCTCACTGATTCAGTCTTCAGCTTCTTCTAGTGTACTAGTGCCTCCTACAGGGTATTTCTTATTTCAGCTGTCATTCTTCATTTCCATTTAATTTTTGTTCATATTTTCTACCCTTTTTTTCACGTCTATGTAGTTTTCACTGAGTTCTTTATAATTCTCACTGAGTCGCCTGTAATTCTCACTGTGTTCTCTGAGCATCCTTATAACCGTTACTTTGAATTCTTTATCTGATAAATTGCTAGCCTCCATTTCATTTGGTTCCTTTTCTAGCAATTCCTTCTTTTTGTTAATTTTGGGGTTGTTTCTTCGCCTCATCATTTTATTGGTCCATTGTTCCAATGCCAGGTGGGGCAGGCTGGGGCAGGGGAGCAGGTTGTATGTCAAGGGACTTTGGTCAGGGCCAGTCATGTGCCCCAGATCTTGAATCTGGCCTAGTGGGCTGGGGGCACTAGGGGCTCTCAGCTGTGGCAGTGGGGCCAGTAGGACAGTAGCTTTCTGCTGCTGACGAGTCCCTCGGAATTGTGTGCTCCTCTGCTCCTGTGGGTCCCATGGTGGTGTCAGGCCCCTCTGTTGTGGGTGGGTGCACTGGGGTTACAGGGTACTCTGCTGCCAGGGAGAGGTGGTAGAGCTGCAAGTGTCTCTCTGTGGCCTACAGTGCTGGGTCTCTGCAGTTGTAGGCTCCTCCCTTATGGATCTTCTAAAATGGTGCACTCTCTGATCAGAACTGGGGAGAAGCACCCGGATAGGAGTGTGGTTCTGCTGCTGGCAGCTTCCTCTGTGCAGAGTGCCCTAATGGCCCACTCTCGGTTCATGGGTGCCCCCACCAACAGGTAGCTGCCTACCACACTCACACCCATGCAGAGTCTCACACACACTCACCTACTCACATTCTTACTCTCACTTTGATCCTGCCTGCCGCCATGTTGGAATCCCACACTCTTAAAATGTTTTAAAAAAGAAGAAATGCCTCTTTCATATTTGCCCTCATATTTGTCAACTTGAGTGCTTGTCATTCTCTTCTGTGCTCTGAACGTTCTATCCAGCATTACTTTTCTCGGCTGTGGAGCCAATTAGAAGTTCTTAGTGGTGGCCCACAGGTGATAAATGGTCTCAGCTGTTGTTTATAGAAAACGGTGTTTATGTTTTTAAATTTAAAAGTTATTTTTGCTAGATATAAAATGATCAGTTGACAGTTTTCTATTTTAACGACTGTCAGTCTCCATTGTTTCTCAGCTGTCATTCTTATTGTTGTTAAATTATCTCCAGCCATTCAGCTGGCTTTGGGTGTGTGGTAGCTTGTAAGTATCCAACAGGGCCGTGGAATTCAAGCGTCAGGAGAGTAAAGAGAATTTCTTTGTTTTTCATCTTCACCTACAACCTCCTGCATTGCTATGTGGTGATGGTCTTTGATCTTGTCAGAAGATGAACTTGGTAAGAGTTTAGTTGCAGCTTCCTCTCGACTTTGTCTGCCATTCTCTTTAATGTTCCTGAGCTGATTGTTCCTGACCTGGCTGCTAGCTCCAGGAGGGCCCTGAAACCACGCATTGCTCACTTTGAGATGGCAGAACTCTGAGACCTTAGGTCTGCTTGGACATGAAAGTGTGGAGCTATGAAACTGCAAATGATAAGACCCTGGGATAGTGGGACTGTGGGACTATGAGAATTCGTGATCGCAAGACTGAAAGACAGTGACATTCAGAGGATTAAGTTGCTTGCTCAATGTTGCATAGTCATGCCAGGATGGTGACCCCTTTGATGGGAATTCAGGATGACCTCATTGGAGCACACAATACATGAGCTAAGGGATCCTATAAAGGACTCCAACCTAACGAGATAAGTCTTTCATCTGGAAATATGCAACTAAGACTTCAATATCAGTTTAAGATGTACTCAGTGTAGAAATTTCATGGAACCCAGAGAGGGCACCCCATCACCCGTGGTGTGAGTAAGATCCTAATGAAAGTTCAGTTGGATGAAATATTTTGCAGACCCAGGGACTTCATATGCCTGGGGGTGGGCTGTAGCACACCTGATGACGAGGGGATCTAGAAGAATGAAATTCTCCCCAGTCAGATTGTAGAGAAACCGGAAATGGCTTCACTCTATCCAGAACAATGCAAAACGCAGAGCCATTGTGCTCCCTTTAAAGAAACAGTATATGTGCCAAAGAAAAATGAGCATAAATGCATTTTAAAAATAACTATACTCCACCAGAAGAGTCCATCCCAAGTGAGCAAGGGATTAAGGAAATGGTATATTGTATCAGTTGCTAAACGTTGGGAGCAAGAGATTTGAAAGGACCAGCCTGCCAAATAAAGATATTCTTTTTTTGGATAAAGAGAAAATGGGTCAAACTGGAAAATCTGTAGAATGTGGGATCTGAATCTTGAGGAATTTCTCTCCATGACCTCATTCTCTTACACAAGGATCTTGTTGCAGGTACAGCTGAAATGTAGGAAGTGGCTTCTTCGTAAGTCACTTTGTGATTTTTTATTTTTATTGATTTTAGAGGGAGAGGAAGTTAGAGGGAGAGAGAGATAGAAACATCGATGAGAGAGAACATTAATTGTCTGCCTCCTGCATGCCCACCACTGGAGACTGGGCCCACAACCTGGGCATGTGCCCTGACTGGAAATCGAACCCGGGACCTCTTGGTGCATAGGTCAGCACTCAACTGCTGAGCCACACTAGCTGGACACCCATTTGTGATTTTAATGGTGATCATAATCAACTGTTGAATGTCATACTTATTAACGAGGGTGTGTTTTGAGTGCAGCAGAAATGTCTGATTTTTCAAGGTATCCTAATTCCATGAGTGTTGTAAGGATACACCAACGTTGAGTTTTTGGTGTTTGAAAATGGATTTCATTAAATAGATAAATAATTTACATGGTGTTCTCTTTGGCTACCTAAGAAAACAATGGGTCTTCTACTACCTGGTTGACATTGAAGGACACTAGAAGCAGCCTTTATCTAGGAATTTTGAGTCAGAAAAAGAGGCAGATGATGACTCATAAGAATGCAAGCAAATCTGTATGCCAGCTCACGTGTACATTGGAATGATGGAAAAGTTCGGTGGACGGATAGTGGCAATTGGTGGTTGAACAATAATGTGAATGTACTTAACGCTACTGAAGCATATACTTGAAAATGGTTGAATGGCCCTGGCCAGGGTGATTCAGTTGGTTGAGCGTCATCCTGTGCACCAAGCGGTTGGAGGCCTGAGTCCCCATCAGGGCACGTGACAGTCAGGAGTGTAGGAGGCGGCCCATCAGTGTTTCTCATCAAAGCTTCTTCCCCTACCCTGTCCTTTCTTCTCTCTATAGAAATCAATAGAATATTTTTTCAAAAATAAATAAATAAAATGGTTAAAATTGTAAATTGTAAGTTATGTGCATTTTACCCCAATGGAGGGGTGTTAGTATGCAGAAAAATTTTGACTCCAGAAATCATTTATCCAAATGAAGGCCAGGAGGCATAATCGTAACTCCCGTGTTGTATTTTCCTGGGCTTATACTTCACGAAAAAATGTAAAAAGTGGATTACCTCCTCCTGTTATCCCTCCATAACAATTAACAATGGGATCTTTGAAGAGTCTGAGGCCGTAGAAAATCCACAGGCTTAGCATATTGACTGACCTCAATGAGTAGTAAAAGTCTTCAAACATGCCTTCCTTCTAAGAGGATTGTCAGGCAGCTCCCACACCAGGTGACCATGAGCATCAGCAATATGAAATCTCCATTGCATTGTTTCTGACGCTTTTCCGTGTCACTTCTCATGACGTGCCAAGATTGACCTATTGATAAAACCGGGGGTTGGGGGGTGGTAAAGAATAATATACAGTGTTTCCAAAAAATATATAACAACATATAATGCAGAATTTTCAGCCGAGTCAGATTTCACTGGAAATTGCTGAGAAATTGAGAATTCTCTTTGAAAGGGTTGGTAGAGTAACAGGTGGGTTTGCCCTGATTTTCTCAAGCTCTGGCTTTGAAGGCGACGCCATGAACCCCAGATCTCACGGGGCCCCTCTTCTCCTGCAGACCTTTGCCGGGAACACGAACGCGGACGGCGTGGTGCACCACCGGCTGCTGCACCCGGTGAGGGCGCGCTTTGTGCGCTTCGTGCCGCTGGAGTGGAACCCGAGCGGGAAGATCGGCATGAGGGTGGAGGTGTACGGATGCTCCTACAGTAAGTACCCGCGGCGCCGCGCCGGGTGTCGGGGTCCTGCCTGCACAGTGCCCGCGTATGGACGTTGAGAGGGCAATTCCAGTTGTTTTCAAGTTTTGTATGAACTTTAATAACCTGTACACATTTTAAATGTGAAATCCAACCCGGGGAAGAGAGAGAAAAAAACAAAAACCAAAAACAAACTCTTTCACTTAGAAATGAAGGAACGTGGTTGGAAGTGACATAGAATAATAGCTTAATAAAATATCAAAATAAAGAGCTTTTGAAGCTTGAGGTGCCATCTTTCCTGGCAGTAAAATAGTGGCACAAGCTCAGTCCGTTCCTAGCCAGGGGTGAGTGCTGCGAAGGCCCCTCTCAGAGACACGGCGGGAAAGAAAACGTCTCCTGGTTCACTTTTCTACAGAGACGGAGAAGGAACGTTAAACCCAGGGTGCCCTGTCCTGGAGTGAGGCCAGCAATGTTCCCTCTGTGGGTTGTCTGTATGGACCCTAAAGCAGAGCCCATCCTTTATATAGAGAAGATTGGAAACGTGGGTACAACTGGTGACCACTTGAAAATAAGCTCAAAATTATCCAAGACAGGTTTCTGTCTGTGTAATTCTTCATTCACCTCCAGGTTTTATAGTTAAACCTGAAACTGCGTAAAATAAATGGTGTTTCTGCCTTCGCAGTGATATTCTCTGCTTATATGTGATGATCCCTAATAAATCAACACATTCGATCACTACCATTTCAGTATAAATGAATTTGATGCAGTCCTGGTGCTGGTGAGAGGGCCTCGTGACTTACAGCTTGTGCTCTCTCCCCCGCTGTCTGACGACCATCTGCAGAATCACCAGGAGAGCTTCTTAAGCATCTTCTTCGCCCAGTCTTGTCCATGCTGGACTAAGATTTCTGGGGCTAGAGATTCAGAAAGCTCCGTGTTAATGAGCTCCCTAGGGAAGCTATAGACAGAGTGTTTACTTACATTAAGTCCTACACTGCAGGTATTTACCTGTGAAAAGGCTGTCTGTATTTTGACCAAACCCTTTCAGGAAGAGTGTGTTTACAGCTGATGCATCGGCAGACCCTCAGGCCGGGGAGAGACTCACTCTCGCCCTCACAGCGCCAAGTGCAGAATGTCTGCGAAGCCATGAGCCTCAGTCCGGCGTCTCTGGGGCATCCTGGTTCTCTGATCACCTCTGTTGTGAAAGTCAATCAATTAGTTTTTATTTATTTATATTTAGCATACAATTTATATTAGTTATATGAGTTTCAGGTGTACAATAAAACCATGTGATATTTTTACACCATACAGTGTGATCACCACACTAAGACTTGTAATCATCTGTCACTATGCAAACTTATCACAATAGTGTCTATATGCCCCATCACCATTTTCACCAACCGCCCCATCCCTTCAGTAAGCATCCCTTTGATCCTTGTTTCTAGGAGTCTGGTTCTGTCTTGTCTTATTTGTTTATATTCCACATATAACTGAATCCTTGCAGTGTTTGTCTTTCTCTGTCTGACATATTTCAAGTAGCATGATACCCTCTAGGCCGATTCATATTGTCACAAATGGCTAGGTTTTATTTTACTTTTTTATTGCTACGTAATATTCCATTGCAATTTTTAGGCCTGAAACCATAAAACTTCTAGAAGAACACATAGGTAGTAAACTATTTGGCATCCATCTGAGTAATGTCTTTTTGGATATGTTCCCTTGAGCAAAGGAAACAAAAACAGAAATAAATGAAAGGGCCTTCATCAAACTAAATTGCTCTGCAGAGCTAAGAAAACCAACAAAGCAGAAACACAACCCACTGAATGGGAGAGTACATTTGCAAATTATATATCAGGTAAGGAAGGGTTTGAGATCCAAAACATATATCAGGTAAGGGTTTGAGGTGATCCATACAACTCAATAACAAGACATAAATAAACAGTCCAATTAAAAAAAACACACAAAACAATGGGCAGAGGACATGAAAATACATTTTCTTCAAAGGAAATAAACAGATGGCCAACAGACATAATAAAAGATACTCAACATCAATAATCATTAGGTCAATGCACATCAAAACCACAATAACATACCACCTTATGTCAGTTAGGATGGCTATCATCAGTGAATCTACCAATAACCAGCGTTGGTGAGGATGTGGAGAAAAGGGAACCCTACTGCATTGTCAATAAAACTGAAAATCGGTGCAGCTGCTATGGAAAACCATATGGAGAGTCCTCAAAGGCCTAAAGAAACTAGATCTTTCATAAGACCAGCAATTCTATTTCTGAGTATTTGTCTAAAGAAAATGAAAACACTGAATCAAAAAGATAGATGCACCCCTATGCCCATTGCAGCATTCTTTATAATAGTCAAGATGTGGAAGCAACCTAGGTGTCCACTGATAGATGAGTGGATACAGAAGATGTGATATATACATGGTTACATCTTCTGTTGACGACTATTGTTACTACTAGGAGGTTAATTTTTAAGTATAACCTGAATCTTCCATGCTGAACTAAAAGGGTTATGTACATTATTGCTCTAGCCATCTATTTTTGTTGAATAATCCCATTATGCATTAACATGTCCTCATGGTTTTGCTTCCTCTCAGTCCAGACAGTTGTCCTTGTTTTTGACGGTATGTCGTTGCTGCCAGAAGGATGCATAGCACCCCGCGAAATGAAAGACTGAAGGGTTGGAGGAGGTCTTGAGAAACAGGTTAACTTCTTCTGGTGGTGGATCCCTTTGAGAATCCGAGGACAGCAAGAGATCCTCTCCTAAGAAAAGTGCTACAGGGGCATGCACGTTGTCCTACAATATTCGTGGGCTCATAGATCTGCTAAAGCCTGAGTCTCGACCAAGCTAAGTGCTTCTGACTTTGAGGTAGCTCAGTCCTGTGTGGACTCCTCTTCAGGTAGGCTCCATGTCCAGAAAGTACATCTTCTAAGGGGGAAACTACCTCCAGCAAACAGTCCCAGTGATGGGAAGTTAACCACTGTCAGGAGCTGGTGGACACAGAATGTTCTCTGTGACAATCCTCAAACTGTCCCTCTATAGTCTATGATCTCTAGTCCTGTGCTTGGATGCTTTTTTCCTTTAGAAAAAAAAAAAAAAAAGTCTCCCAGTTTTTGTCCAAAACCAACACCTCAGTGTGTCCTCTGAATCCAAAACTCCTCTTCAGCATCATCTTATCCCCTTTATACTGGGTTAGTTCTATAAACATAAAATGTTGCTGTCTATGCTGTCAAACAAAACAAAACCAACAGAAGCCCTGTGGCCCCACAGAGCATCTCCCTTCCTCCTCTCCCCTCTTCACGAGCAGCCTCCCCCAGACCTCGTCTTTGCTGAGGTCTCCATCCGCTCACCTCTCTTCACACTGCAACACATTTCAGTCGGGTCCGTTTAATGTGTCAACGTGGTGAAGCAATAGTCTCCGGTCATCCAACCAAACACAAGTCCCTTGCTGTGACTTACATCTACAAGCATTTGACCTTGATTAAAGCAGATTGCGCTCGGTATTGTGGGGGAGGGAGATGATTCGGTCAGTGGAAAGATTTTAAGATCAGAACCGAGGTTTCCCTGCGGACTGCAGCTGCTGAGGCCCCGCCTGCCCATCTTCCGTCTCTCCCTGACTAATGAAGAACACTCTAGAAACCACTTCAGTCAAGACCAGCGGTGAGCTTCATGTAGCCATTGCAATGGTCTCCTCACAGTTCTCTCTCACTTTACAAAACCCCTCAGTTGTATTTGGTTCAGTTAGTTATCCCTACTTTTTTATTGCTTTTTAGAGAGAGAGGAAGGGAGAGGGAGAGAGAGACAGAAACATCGATGAAAAAGGACATCAACTGGCTGCCTCCTGCATGCCCCCCACTGGGGATCGAGCCCACAACCTGGGCATGTGCCCTGACCGGGAATGGAACTGGTGACATCTTGGTGCAGGGTCGACACTCAACCACTGAGCCACACCGGCTGGGCTATTTCTACTTTTTAAAAGCCCTCTTTCCCTTCTCCCTCACTTGTTACTTCTACCGGTTCACAGGACCAGTCTAGGGACTTCCACCTCCCTCTTCCCACACCCCACACCGAGCTGAATCTACAGCACTTCAAAAATTCAAATATCATCCATTGCTGATCACCTCCACCTCTGTGACTCCTGGCCTGACCTCCGGGGTAATACATGCATATACTTCAGTTGTCCGCCTGGAAGTCTCATAAATATTTAAAGTTAAATATAGGAAAAACAGAAGTCTGGAATACCATTCTCTTAGCATCCTGCTCATGTGCCTCACCCTATCTTGTAACAGGCTCCACCGAGTACCCACCCGCTAAAGCAGACACCCAGGCAGCGGCCTGGATCCCCTTCCCCGTGACTGCTACCCCTGTCTGATTTATCTCCAGTTCACAGTGGCTCTGCCGCTTCCTTCCTCCCAAACATATCCTAATCCACGCCCTTCTGTTCCCTTCCTGAGGAAAAGCCTCAGTCAGTGCCACCTGGAGTATTTAAATAGACTTCTGCCTGGAGTTCTACTCCATGACACAATCTCCCCAAACCCATTTTTCCTGCAACAGCCAAAGTGATTTTTAAAAATAAGAAATGAAATCACATCATCCCACCTGCTTCACTTACAAGTGAAAGTCATTGCCGGCAAGTGAAAGTCTTCACTGAGCGCCCCATGCTTCTCTCCATTCATACAGATGTTCTTGTTATTCTTTAAACTGTTTCTACCTCAGGGCCTTTGCACTTTCTGTCCCTTATGGACACAATTCTTCCCCAATATTTACATGTTTAGCTCTTTCAATCTTTGTGATTCTCAAGTCTTCAGAGAAGTGCAAAGGGTGTGTCCCTGTAAAATCCCCTGCCCTCCTTTTTGCGCACCCAGCATCCATGCCTAGTTATGTGCTGTGCTTTTGTGTTCTTCCTCATGCTGCCCACAAACTAGAAAGTTGTTAATTTGGGCTCTCTGCTTGCTGTGCCCTTTCACGTGTCTGCACCAGGGTGTACAGACCGTGAG